TGCATCCAAAAGTGCACTGGTAGCCCTCATGGACAGCTAGCTCCTTGATGAGGGCTGTGGGCCACTCTGTGCGTGGCGCTTGAGGTCCAAGCACCTCGTAATCATCCAACAGATTGACAAGCACTGTCAATTCTGGCCCAGTCACACTGTGCTTGTACAGGTGTCGAGTGATGGCATCCTTACCTGGACGCACACAGCTTGCGCAGTGCAGGCAAACAATAACCTGCCACTGAGAGAGATATGGGTATTGGAGAGCAAGCGCTTGAGCACGCTGCTCAGTGGTGGGAACAGTTGTGGTAGACATGTTGAAGTTTGTCGAGGGGAAGGGAGGTTTGGGCAAGAGTTGGTGCTGTGCACTGAGTAGTGAGTGTTTGAGTGAGTGATTGACGAGGGAAGATGGACATGAGAGCATCTCACATCCCATCTTTATAGCTTTGGAGCCTGCTACAGAGCAAGCTGTGCGCCCATCATGAGCAGCACTTGCCTTGTTGACGCACAGGTAGTCAAGTGTAGCTCTTTGCTTTGTAAAACAAGTGTCACTTCCACAAAGAAGATCATCTGCTACGTGCTACAAGCCTTGTCTGTAGTGAAAGACAAGAAGACTTGACGCGTGTAGTGGTGCAGCCACACCCGCTCACCAGCAGCAGCGCGCTCATTGTCCTTGCACCGGCCCATCTTTCAGATCTTGTCACTGCTTGCAGGTACTTGTTCTGGCAGATCTAATTTGACTACATCAAATGCCCCTATCACAGCTTCCTGACGGTGTAATTGGCATCTCATTTGGTAGCATGCTTGCCGTACACCAGCACATCAAAGTGTCGGTGCCAGGGACAATGAGGGGCTGTGAGCAGCACGCGCAGTACGCGTCACTGCCAAGGCACAGATGGCACGTATAGTGGTGCAGCCACACCCGCACAACAAGGCTGATGCGCCTGTTGTCCCTGCATATGCCAACCTTTGAGTGCTTGTCACCGCTTGCAGGCCCTTGTTCTAGCACAACTGTCTTGACTACGGCAAATGCCCCTATCATACCTACCCAGTGAGCGTCTGAGCAAGGCAATTGGTGAACAGGAGCCTGCACAGTGGGTCCTCAAAGTGTCGGTGCCAGTGTACTTGTTCGACGCTGATGTGACGCGCATCACTTTCAAATTGTGTGCATGTTCTTGCTGCATAGATGCACCATCTGAACAAGCAAATTGCACCACACAAAATGCCCCTATCACAGCTTGCTGACTGTGTGATTGGCTTCTCATTTGGTAGCCTGCTTGCCGTACACCAGCAAGTCAAAGTGTCGGTGCCAGGGACAATGAGGGGATCTGAGTGATGTTTGGCGCGCAACAAAGGCGTGACGGCCACCACTGCAGGCTGGGGTGCGGCGTACAAATTGATGCGTGCAGCGGATAATTTACGCGTAGCGCGCGCGCCTGCATGGCCGTATGGGGCGCACGCGTGTCCATATGGCAGAGCACGCGTCCGTATGGCAGAAATCTGTCTGCGCACTTTTACGGCGTAAAATCTTGAAAATCAAGGTCCGCGGACGTCCGGACGCGTCTTTTTGGCGGGGTGCGGCCTAGTTTACGGTGTAAAATCCTCGACTTATACCAATAGGGGTCGATCTAGTCATCATAGGTGTAGCAAGTCCAAATCCCGATCGTACCGGCTCACGTCGATACCGATCTAACAACATGCACTTGTCCAGGGTCAGGGGTAGGCCACATGACATGCACTTGTCCAGGGTCAGGGGTAGGCCAAGACGCACGCTCACCACCTCTAGGGTCAGGGGTGACTTGCACGTGCCCCTGTACTTCCCAGGGCCCAGACCCTACTGCTGCAAGGGGTAAATTTTAACCCCCTTCCTCAAAACAAGGGGTACCTCTAGACCCCATAAGGGGCAACCCTTGTTTCTCCAGGGGGGGGATTTTGCAGGGGAAGGGGCGCTTTTTTGCAGGGGTAGGGGTAAAACCCTGCATGAGGAGGAGGGGTAAACCCTGCATAGATCCAGGGGCAAACGCCAAGACCCTGCAAATTTCAGGGGTAAACCCTGCATTTGTACAGGGGTAATCACTCTTTTGCCTGTATCTCTGTCAATACCCCCAGGGGTGAGCCTCAAACTTTGACAGGAGTATCAGGGCATCCTTCTGCATCCATTGGGCCAATCTTATTTTCTGCCCCTCCCGGGAACCCGTATGTAACCCTAACCCTAACTCTAACCCTAACCCTCACTTCCCATCCCTGCACTGCTTTGCATCCCCCCACACTCTCTCATTTACTTGCACTGACTGCCCACCTTCACTTTGCTGCATCAAACTTTCATTGCTTCACTGCCCTTTTTTCTTACTTCCTCACCTCTTTCTCCACTGCTCCCTCATTCACTGACTGACCCTCTCTCCTCACAGCTCTCTCATTAACGCGCACTAACATTCCCCTCATTCACTGACTGACCCTCTCTCCTCACAGCTCTCTCATTTACACGCACTAACATTCCCCTCATTCACTGACTGACCCTCTCTCCTCACAGCTCTCTCATTCACACGCACTAACAGCCCTCTCATCAACTGACTAGCCCTCTCTTCTCACAGCACTCTCATATCCATGTGCTAACAGCACCCTCATCAACTGACTGACTCCTCACAGCTCTCTCATTCACACACACTTACATCGCCTGACCTATGCAACGCTTGCATGTTGTAAGACCCGAGGAGGATACTCGACTATGAGGGTCGGGGTTTGTTGGCTACGCCGGATGAGCACGGTAACACAACGGGGATAACGGTGGTACGCAGTACTGACCTAATGATCTAGGCTGTCTAGGCTGGGGAGAGTGGATCTCAACTCAGGCTAGCAAGCAGAACAAGGAAAGATAGTATTTGCGACGGAGGCCATGAAGGAAGTACAGGGGGCGCTCGTCGCGGGGGAAACTACATAGCGGGGACAGCCGCTGGCGGCGGCGACGCTCGGCGGCGATGGCGACGGCGATCGGCGGTGATCGATGGCAGCGGCGACTGGCGGGAATGTTCTAGTACAGGCGCGGCGTCGGACGCGTCACAGTGCGCGTCCTGACACATGTACTGCCCCCTTAATGCCACATCCTAGCCCCTGTTTGCCATGCTCTATCATTAGTGCATGCAAGCACTCTTTGCTGCATGAAATACTCTCACTTGTGCACTCACTGCTTCCACTCAAGCACTCTCTTGCTTCCTGCTTTGTGTACACCTCTCAGCACTCTCACTTTGCGCACTAACTGTCTACACACACACTGCCCTGCTTTGAGCAATGCTGGTGCTTGTTCTGGCTCACCTGCTTTGACTAGGTCAAATGCTCCAATCAGAGCTTCCCAAAAGTGTCATTTGTAGATTGCTGGGCAGCGTACTCACTGCACATCAGCCAGTCAAAGTGTCGGTGCCAGCTCCAGCCAGCACATGACGCACATGCTCACAGCAAAAACCCGTGCGAGCTTGGCGTGTGTGCATTAGGGATCAAATCTAATCTCACAGCCAAAGCCCGTGCGGACGCAGGGGTCACGTGCGTGCGTGCGTGTGTGCGTGCGGGATCAAGTCAAAGTTTGATCTCACAGCAGAAACCTGTGCAGGCGCACAGGTCACGTGCGTGCGTGCGTGCGGGATCAAATTTGATCTCACAGCCAAAACCTGTGCGTGTGTGTGCCCGTGAGGGTCACGTGCGTGCAGGATCAAATTTGATCTCACTGTCAAAACCCGCGCGTGTGGGCGGGCCCATATGGCGCGCGTATGGCATGCATATGGCGCGCGCGGTGTCTGCACCAGTAACCGAAATCTTCAAAATCAAGGTCCGCGGATGTCCGGACGCGTTTTTTTGGCGGGGTGCGGCCTAGTTTACGGCGTAAAATCCTCGACTCATACCAGTAGGCCGCGTATGGCGCGCATGGCAGCCTATGGCGCATATGGCACCGTATGGCGCGCTTTTGTCTGCGCGCTTTTACGACGTAAAAGTAGCTCCAGTCATCTCCATGGACATCTGTACGCATCTTTTGGCGGGGGAACTGGCTGCGCATCCTGCTTTTGCGTTGCAAAAGTCTCGGGGCATATATATAGTGCTTCCCAACGCACTTGACACTTTGAAAGCCCATATCTCCATGAGTTTGCAACCCCACCCCAAACCCTTCACACATGCTAAATGACTCCTCTGACCCTCTCCAAAACTCTGCTAGGGTCACATAGATTCCCAAATTTCAGAGGCGCCACCAGCCAAAATCACCCCGCACTTACGCTTTGCGCCTCCTCACGCAAAAACAGCTATTGCAAATCCAAAAATTTTCTGCCACAAGACACTCCTCAATGTGCTCTACAAACTGGCTATCAAACATTTCTGACCCTAATTCCAGACACCCTTGTAACCCTAATCCTATACACCCACAGCCTTCCAGTTTCCCCACCACTCTCTTATTTACTCGCACTAACCCCTCCTCACTTGCTTACTTGTTGCCCATTCTCACTTCCCATCCCTGCTCTGCTCTGCATCTCCCCCACACTCTCTCATTTACTACTTGCACCAATTGCGCCCCTTCACTTTGCTGCACCATTGCCTGATTGCTCTCTTATCATTGCGCACTTAAACGCTCTGACCTGTGTAATGCTTGCCTAATATGCTCCCTTAGTAACACGCACCAGAATCTTTTTCATTGTTTGATTGCTTGCTGCCATCGAATCGATTTTGATCTCATTTTGTTCCGCCCATGAAGACGAGAGAGGTCACGAAATTATCAAGCGACCGAGCAGACCAACGATGAGTAGAAGGGAAACACGTGATCACAGCCGCGCACGGGGGTGGAGGGCGTGATGCACGGACTCGAGACCTGCGCGCGCGCCACGTATAGCCTGCGAAAGTTGTAGTTGATGATGCGCGTTGCACCCACCACGCGCATCAAACGCGCAACCACGCATGTCGGACCCGCACTCACAACTCCTCCATCGCACTTTCCCCCCCGCTGCTTACACATTCTCGACTTCGCATCAGCCCCTGCCATGCTGTCGTCTCTTGCATCCATAGCGACTGGCTCGAGCTCCAGATCGCGCGAGCATTCTCAGCCTCAAATGCAGACGCCCGACGATGCCTTGACCCTGTCGCGTCAGCTGGTGAATAGCGACTCGGCAAACGATGATCCAAACGCCATTGCCAATGCATCGGGCTCCAAGACATTGGCAGAGAGCTTGGACAGACTTTACAAGAAGGGAAAAGGGGAAGGCGCGATGCAGCTGGCGCAACCGCTCGCGGATGGCAGAGATCCGCTCAGCGTAGTCGTGTATCCCAGAGATACGTTGGTAGGACTGTACATCCTGTGAGTTCATGCGTGCTGGTGCAATGGGTCGGTAGTCAGGCGTCGGTTGCCAAGCATCCGGGCATATTCTTTGAGCGCTCGCCTCTTACTGTCTGGCGCGCACCTCGCAACGATCAGCAACGCCCGTCTCAGTCTCATCAAGGACCAGCAAGCCATTGGCGCGGCGACAGTCTACATCGACGCATTGCTAGCTCGTGCGCCACCTGAATTGCTCCGCATGGCTCCTAATCGAGGTGAGGTGTTCCGTACGAGGTGTCTCGCTTTTCGAACGCTCATGCGCGTGTCCTTCCACACCAGTCACCCACCTCGCGCGTCAAATTGCAACCTTTTCAGCAACTCTGCGCAATGTGAGTCGAAGCGTGTATCTGGCGCATACCCTGCGCTGACCCTCGGCATCACCGCCGCTGCTTCAAGCCACAATGGGGCCTGCAGCGACTACTGCGACTGCATTCGATGAGCCCATACGAAGTGACGGTGAATGTATTGACGCCTCTGCACGCGATTGTGCTGTACGTGAGTAGCATACATGGCACCTCTCGTCAGACCCTCCCCTGACAGTATGCCTCGCTTCCCGCCCACTTATCACAGCAAGCTCTAAAGACCGGCGATCTCGGCGCTATCGGAGCTCTTGTGGAGGTCCCAGTGCAGCACGTTGCCAAAGTGAGCTCAACGTGGTCTTTTGTCTGGTAGCTCTTGCTCATCCACACCTCTCTTGCAGCACCCCAACAACCGCTACCTGGATGCGCTGGAATACTTTTACTATGCAGGTCTAGCGTACCTCAAATTGGATCGTTTGGACGCCGCTGACAATGCCTTTGAAACGGTGTGTAAATGCAGTGCAATGCCGGAGCACCTGCACCAACCTGATCCAGATTATTGTCCTAGTGCCTGAGCGTCCCAACACGCGAAGTCAGCGCGATCCAGCTGGATGCATACAAGAAGCTCATTTTGGTGCAGCTCATGCTTTATGGAAAGGTGAGCGAGTGGCGAGCGCCATCTGTATCAAGAAGCATGCACGGCTAACCCTTGGCGCCCCCAGACTCGATCACCGCCAAAACACGTCTCGCCGCCTTTTCAAAAGATTTTGCGCAATGCTGGTGGCTCCACTGGCACGCACCCTTCCACTCTGGTGCCCTACGAGACACTGGCTCGCCTGTATGCTCGTGGTCCAGTGCTCAACCTGGCAGGTCAAGCTCAAGCTGCTGGGCATGTCGATCGTGGACTAGCAGACTTGCAGGAGTTCGTCGCGGCAAAAAAGGCCGACTTTGCAGCGGTGCGTGGCTGTGTCCACGAATTTACGCTTCTTTGCTGAGCCCTTGTCCACTTCTCAGGACGCAAATTGGCACTTTGTACAGTCCTTGCTTAGCCTGCATCGCTTGCGGCGCATTCAACGCTTGGGAGATACGTTTGGGTCGCTCACAATCGCAGACATCATCGATCTGTTAGCTTTGCCAATCCCATCAGGCAATCGCGACCAAGTAGCGCAGCAAGTGGCGGCTGACCTGCTGTGGATCGTGAGTACGCCCATCATCTGGCTGTAGTAAAGTTGCTGATCGAACGATACCTCTCCGTCAGACTCAGCAAGGCTGGTCCCAAGCCACGATAGATGGCGAGTCGACGCCGTCGCCTGAGAGCGTCGTGGTGCACTATCATCCAGCGCCCTCTGCGCAAACGGCGGGCAGCATGAATCGCGACGCTGGTACCGTGCGTCGCCTACAAGCCATGCATTCTGAATTGCACCATCTCAGCTCGGCAGTCGAACAAAAAGAGAGGAGCATTGCGACGAGCGCTAGCTATCTGCTCAAGGTGCGTTTGGGCAGCTGAGGTCGACACAGGAGGCTCCGCCATTTTGTAGCTCACCGAAGCGGCAGTCCCACAGGTGCAACACAATACTCGACCTGCATATCAAGGCGGCGGCAACCTTGGCGGGGCTGGTATGGACTGTGAGTTGCGCTAGCAGTGCTTCTGGTTGAGATTCTGTCAAAAGCTGATGATGTGATGTCTTCCGCCAGTTGACGACTACGATGAAGGTGAGGCGCTTTCTCTGCAGCGCCAGTCTGTTGATGTGCTTGTCGCTGAATCTTGCCTTTGCAGACGTTTTCGGAGCTTGATGCCGCGGACGAATGCGTAAACAGCGATTGCAGACGGGATGTGACCATTCGACAAGCTTTGCTAGGCCGACCCGAGGTGGTTCGTCCCATTTCTCTTTCGTGATGAGTTCTTTGGGCTCCATTGATGCTGGCACGTACTTCAAATGCAAAGAGGCTGCAGTCATGAAGACGGTGACCGCTGCCTCCTTGCACAAGTGCGTCCTCCTCCTCCGCCAACCATGGTGCTATGTGCCGAAGGTGAGATTCCAAACGGACGACTTTGAACATTTGCGTCTTGTAACGTTCGTCGAGACAGTGGGGTCGTCTGCCAGCTTCCGACGAGGCCAAAGTGATCTTCCCAATCCTGATAATCTTTCGCCTGTGGATCGTCGACGTGGCTCTCGCGAAATCTGATGTGAATGAAGGTCGATGTCTAGCGCGAGTTGCTTGTCTGCCTCGGAGAAGCGGCGATATATCTCACGCCCCCCCCCCCCCTCCAGAGCAGGTGCAGCACGGATGATTCGATAGAATAGATTGAGTCCAAGCACATCCAGGCTGGAAGAAGGAGCATTGGCGGACGAGATGGCGGTCTTTCGATTGCTTGCAGACACCCTGCGCTAGGCATTCAGGCAAGCATCGAACGAGGACTGAAAAATGTACCCAGATACTCCCGAAGAAGCCCGGGTGAAGTGTGCAAGGAGGAGAAGCCAAACTCGTCGGACGGAGATGGCGAGTCAAGATGAATTTTGCGCTGATGTGTGTACCGAAGCGGGAGCCTGCAACGGTTGCATTACCTCCGAAGCGGCTCCTTTGCTTCAGCAACGCGTCTTGGTAGCGAACCCGTCCTCCACAGACGCGCTTGTGCGCGCTCTCTGTCAAGTTCTGACTCCAGCGAGATTCCTTTTGTATGTCATGCGACACGTAGTTGGGGTGTCAGCTTGAGGTACACATGGGTGACGCGTCGGTCACGTGCTCTACACTTTCGTCCTTTGTGATTTCCCACAATCCCAATCATTCACATTGCTACTGTCCTTGTGAGCCTTTCGCGACATTTTCGACGACGTGGTTGAAGGACGGGGCAGTAGGAGGACAACGCAAGTCGCATGCTCCTCATGGTATCACATCTCGGAAGGATGGAGTCGACGCGAAAGGTGCACGTGCGTGAAACTCTCGGCCGAGAAGGTGTGTCGCGGCAGAATTTGGAACGCAGCGCATCCCAGATTTTTGCACAGCCTCCGAGCATCCCGCACACGCCTTCGCCTTCACTCTACCACCACCACATTTGTCGACGGGACATTTGGCTTCCCTTGACGTGGTGTACACCGCACGGCCGCTATTGAGGCTCTAAAAATCGTTCTACACACCATTCCGCAGCTCAATCAGCTGCGCTACGCACCGGGCACACTGGCGTCGTGGCTGCCAGCATGGCGCCGCTTCCAGGTGCGTGCCAAGAGTGGTGTTGATGTCGTCCAGTCTATCACTCTGACGCACCTCTGCACTCCTGCAGATCAAGTCGGCTCGCTTCTCTTTTGTCCTGCCTGTGGAAGTCTCTTGGACGTGCCTGCCGACGAGGATGTGGTGCGCTGCACTCCCTGCGGAGGAGTGGTGGATGCCAAAGTGTACGACAATCTCTCCATCGTCACCAAATCCGCGCCCAACGCTTTTCCCTCGGCATTGAGGCAAAAGCGGACGTTGGTGCATAGTGTGGACCCAGCCGAGGCGGGCAAGAGGGCAGAGGATGCTACGATCAAGGAGAAATGTCCAAATTGCGGCAATGAGGAGATGAGGTTTCACACGCTGCAAATGAGGAGCGCGGATGAAGGAAGCACAATTTTTTACACTTGTCCCAGATGCGCTTACAAGTTCAGCCAGTGAGTCTGGAGTGAGGGAGCCGTACCGCGTAGGCTGCAATGCTGACGTGCCCCTTTACTCCCTCATCATCCCCTTCACGTGCAGAAACAACTGACGCTGCAGATCGCCAGTCCGCGATTGCTTGCCTCACCCCGCGATCGAGTCAATCACCTCCTCGAAGTCCTCGCAAGTCACCCCTGTCTCACTGCCTTGGCCCCTCTCGCGGCATACATCCTGCATCCGCTGTAATACCATCCATCGCCCCTTGCTGCCTTAGGGTCTCTCGTTGTGCGCTGCACGCCACGCTCCTGTGCTGTGCCCAAGAAGCATCGAATCGAGCCTTGTGTCCCCTTTCGCTGGGAGCCAACGAAATGCTTCTCTGACCTCTCCATTCGACTTGGAAATTGATGCGATTGGTGTGCTGCAATACGATCATTGATCCCTTGCTGGGGGGGGCGAGGTAGAGTCGCGTGCGTGCGTGCAGGGAGGGGTGACGCGCGCCCCACGGCAGCAGGCTGGTCATGCCAGTCACGCGTGCAGTCACGAGGTCTCCGCCGATGGCACGCGTTCCGTGATTGCACACGACATCTGTGGCGCGTCCCGCGATCCATGCATCGCATCATGCATGCAAAGTGGCGCACGCGCACGCATCAGCTGGGCCATTCTCCCGTGGAGGCAAAAAGTCATGCATTTGATTCTGCTGGCTGCTGGACGATGAGAGGGACTCGCGCGGTCGTCGCCAGCACCCACCACCACCTTTCCATCATACGCGCGCGATGCTTGTCGCTATCACTACCACACTCCCACACACTCCCACCTCCCCTCAACCACCTCCTCCATCATGTCGCTGCTCACCACTACGCCAGCCCCGGCAGGAGGTCTAAAATCCCGCCTGTTGGAGCCATTCTTTCCGCTCATCTTGCTGGCCGCACTGCTCTACCATGGTCTTGTGGGAGCGATCCTGCTGCAAGTGCGAGCAGCCACTCTAGACTTGAAACCATGGAAGCTGCTCAGTCCATGGGCTTGGAGAGATGCCGTCTTGGCCCACGGCTTTCCCATCATCTTGGAGGGATCGGACAAGACGTGGAAGGAGGTCAAGGATGAGCTGATCAGGGCTAATGCGAGCGGCAAAGTGCTGGAAGTGGGAGCGGGAAGCGGAATGACGCTCAAGTACTACGATACGGACAAGGTGCGTGGTTGTATACAGCAGAGAGCAGCGTGAATCACAATGTCGCTCGTTGATGCGCGTAGCAGGCGCAATGTTGAATGATCGCCGTCGGGCCCCCCCGCGCACGCGCACGCGCACGCGCACGCGCGAACCCCGTCAGTGTGTCAGATGTGACTCGTCTGAAACGCATTCACGATTCACGATCGCGCATCCATTACCTACGCCTTGCTTTGTTGGGCAGCCGCGCTGACAGCATCGATCGCGCCTTATCCGCCCGCCGCCCGCAGGTGACGTCCCTGACGCTGCTAGAGCCGTTCGCTTCGCTGCATGCTCCTCTGCGCAGAGCAGCCTCGCAGCTCGCACTGCGCAAGGACCGCGTGCACATTTTGCCATTTGGCATTCAAGAGCGCGAGGAGCTGCGCAAGCAAGGTGTCAAGCAGCGCGGCTACGATACCATCCTTTTGGGTGAGCCAGCCAGCATGCACGCGCGCGCATCGCGTTTCAAAGATTCGCCACTCGCCACTCGCCACTTGCCACTGCTGAGCTCACGCACGCTCTGTCTCTCTCGTTCGTCTTTTTGCACCGCACGCACGCGCGCGCGCGCGTCCCCGCCAGTTCAAGTGCTGTGCTCCATCCCAGAGCCAAAGTCGCACCTCGAATACCTGCAGTCGCTCCTGGCCCCCGGAGGCAAATTGTTGCTGTTCGAGCACGTCTTGAGCGGCTCGACGCTCACGCGGCTGGAGCAGTACGCTTGGACGTACACCATGTGGAGATTCGTGGCCAATGGGTGCTGCTTGGATCGAGCATCGGGAGAGTGGGTCAGAGACATTGGAGGTTGGAAGGATGTGCGGCTCATGAGACCCAAGGACGAGAACAGCGCCGCCCTCGTCCCTCACGCCGTAGGCATCTTCACAAAGGCTTGAAATTGAGGCTCTGCGGCCGGCGCGGTGAAAGGGACGACGAGTCCCTGCTTTCTGAAACGCCACGCCGCAAACCTCCCAACTGGGTCGCAGCGGTACGCCGGCTGCTCAATCTTTGCAAATCAATCGATAGCGTACAAGCGTGGTCATGTGGAGAGAACTCATGCAGTGGTGCGCGCAGCTCCGGCAGCGCATAGACGACGAGGTGAGAATGCTAGGCTGCCACATCGGTACCATCGGCAGCCTTGTTTGATGCTCCTTCTTGAACTTGCTCGACTGCGGAGGGAAAGATGCATTTTGAGCGTGCGAGCAGCGAAGATCTTTGCGGTAGTATGCGCTTTTCCTCTCGTGCAGTCCTGCACTGCATGCTCTTTGCACCCCCTCCGCACTCACCCCAAGGCCTCTTGCACATCGGACATGCACCTTCCTCGCCCCTCTCCCTCATCGGCTCGAGCCACTTGAGAATGCAATGCATGTGAAATACGTGCGTGCACGTTCCAAATACTGTGAAAGGGGGAGGGAGATCGAGACTCTGCTTTAGCGCCCACAGGCATTGCGAAAAGAGTGAGGAAGCGGACGCAGCTCACGCAGCGGACAAGCATCTCCCGGCTCTTTGCAGCTCCCGCCGCACACTCCGTCAAAGGCGTTTTGGCAAATGCCACACACGTCGTCTGGATCCTTGACGTCCCAGACTGTATGCGAGGGGGTGCGGGGGGCGAGGCGAGTGAGGAGGGGGACTGCGAATGTCAGGATCGCTCCTGCTCTCTTGAAAGATGAGATGGACACTTACCCCAATAACCCACGGGCTGGTAGTTGCGAATGGTAACTCGCATCGCTCTCTCTCTCTCGTCTCGCTCTCCTACTGACTCGACTGCAGCTGGAGCAGCAGCTGTGTGCCGCCTTGAGCGTCAAGTCATAGATGGATGGCTGCGCCTGCGAGCGCGACAATGGGTGGTGGATGGTGTGCAGGTAGATGCTTCAAAGCTCCACTCACACGCGGGGGGGCATGCGTCGCTGCTTGCATGTTGGTGCTGCTGCTGATGCTATCCCATCTCGCACGAGACGCGTCCAGCCACTCCCGCGCGAGTGCGCCCGCGCATAGGTGCGTACCGGTACGTTGCAGGGCAGAAGAGTTACGCAAGTCACGAACGAGTCTTGAGCAGCGAGGATAGGATGCGCGAGAGCGTTGACCTCATCTCTGCTCCACAAACACCGCAAAGCCCACTCGTGACTCAAACTCGTCAGTGCTCTCACCCGTTCGGCCGCCCCTCCCCTCCCCTTGCCCCCGCCAAACATGTCGTCAGTCACGCGATCCCAAACCTCTGCAGCGCCCTTCACTCTGACGGTAGCGTCCCGTCAGACGCGCAAGAACAAGGCCACCTCTTCAGCTTTTCCCCTCATCATTCAGCTCAACACCGACCAACCGACGCTCAAGCAGCTCAAATCGGCCATTCATCAAAAGCATGCCGGCTTGACTGCAGAGAGGCAGCGCATCACTACAGAGGAGAAAAAGGCCTTGCTGGATGAGGACAAACGCTTGACAGAGGCGGGTGTCCGCAACGGCGATACGCTCTACGTCAAGGTGTGTCCAGGCTGCATGCACAGATGCCTCTGTTCAACGAGGTGTCGCTTGCTCATCCTCCTCCTCCTCCTCCTCTCCCCCTATCGCTCTGTCTGGTTGCAGGACATTGGTCCACAAGTGGCCTGGCGAACAGTGTTCTTGGCAGAGGTGAGTCGCAGAGGGGCCTTCGCCTTCGCCTTCGCGAAGCAGAACCCGCAATGACCTGCTCACCCGCACTCATCTCCCTTGCAGTATGGTGGTCCGCTGATCATCAATCCTCTGCTCTACTTTGCGGCGCCTCGCATTTGGGGAGCTTACGAGCCATCCAGGATGCAAGCGTGAGCATACATGGCGGGCGTGAGGAGCAGCAGCCTCTCGTGGCTCGTATGTATGCGCTGCGTTGACTTTTGTGCGGCCATCTCTCCACAGCTTGTCCACAACCCTCGTCACTTTGCACTACCTCAAGCGAGAGTACGAGACAATCTTTGTCCACAGGTTCTCAAACGCCACAATGCCGATCCTGAACCTCTTCATGAACACTGCCTACTACTCGTTTCTTTCTGGAATCTTTCTTAGTGGCAGCATCAACATTCCAGCAAATTCTGCTGCCAAGCTCAAGGGAACTTTGCGCGATTCGGATGCTTGGTTGATCGGATGCACAGTCGCTTGGCTCGCCTTTGAGACCCTCAACTACTCTACGCACATTGCTTTGCGCAACTTGCGACCGGCAGGAACGAGAGAGCGCAAGATTCCTCGTGGGGGCTTGTTCGAGTACGTCAGCTGTCCCAACTACTTTTACGAGGTACGTCGTGCATGGTCGGCTGGCGAGCTCAACGTCGCTGCGCAGAGAATAGCCCGTGTATGCCGCTCGCGCTCGCATGTGATCCAAGGCCGGTTTGAAGACGCTGCGCTGAATACACATCTTTTGCGGCCCCTTTTACGCAGATTTTAGGCTGGGTCGCCATCAGCGCCCTGACGTTGAGCCCAGCTGCAGCGCTCTTCTCAGTCGCGGGCGTCTTCATCATGACCAATTGGGCCTTGGGCAAGCATCGTGTGAGTTCTGATGCGCGGCGAGACTGTGGCTATTTTCGACTAAGATACACCTCCCCGCGAATTGCACAGAACTATCGCAAAGAGTTCAAAGACTATCCTCGCAAGCGCAAAGCTCTCTGGCCTTTCTTGGTGTAAGCGCTCTGGCTTGCCGTGCTCTCTTTCATCCCTTTTCTAGTTTCTCGAGAATGTCATCTTAGGATGACAAGCGAGTCAAAACACGTCGTCTGATCAAGTCGCCTTCCAAAGCCATTCGTGATTGATTGCGGCTGCTTGACACGTGCTTTGCATTGTATTGCGCAGTCTGAATCGCCTGCCGCCATTCTGACACGACTTGCGCCATCGTGGGTCCCCCTTGCGCTCCTTGCAAGAATGCAATGACGTGTGCATTCATGCGCCGCCGCCCCCCACAACCTGCCTCTTTGCCGCCCCAGGAGCGGCGGATAGAGTGGGCTCGATGGGCAACGCTATTCCCATTTCAGCTCGCAACGGTCGACGATCTTTGCAGACCAAATCCACGTCTCCATCCCCCCTTTCCCACAACTCCTGATCAACAACTCTACTTTTTCTTCTTGAGAGCATCTGCGGCCGCTTTGCGAGCTGCTGCTTCCTCCTTTTGCTTCTTTTGGAATGCCAAATCCTGGTGAGCGCAAAAAGAGGGTGGCGGAACGCGTCAGGGTGCAAAGATGTGGGCGAAAGATTTGCGCTTGGGAAATCGTTGGGCACGCAATCTGAGTGTTACATCTGGGCCCAGACCTGAAAAGACAGACGAATGCTGCTGTTTGGTCCCACCTTTTTTGCCTACTCACGTCCTCGTCCAGCTCCTTGGCCTGCTTCTTACCCTGCTTGAGGGGCTTAACTGCACAAGAGAGGCGTTACATGCGTCAGCTTCGAGGGCGGATGGCAAAGCAGCTCCCAGCAAGAGGCTTGGCTGAGCTCGTCTAGCTGCCCCCCCCCCCCACGCCCACATGTCAGCACAGTCGGCTACTCACGCTTTCCTCCTTGACGACCACTCATCTTGGATGATCAGCGATCGGTGCTTGTTGGATGCGCTGAGCCTTGTGTATGGTCAGGTGGATCTGATGTTGATGGTCCTGGGTTGCAGCCCAGTGTGCGGATGCTATGAGATCGTGAAGGGGGTCGCGCGAGGGTGCAATCCTGCTAGGAATCGCGTGCATCGCAGACACACACACACACACACACACACA